ATGAAATGAGCTCAGAATCCTTCTGTGAATTTCCACTAACTTCTAGAACCCACATAAGCTTCAAAATCTATGTCTTCTCCAGACAGGGAGTTCCACCACTGAATTACATCTCACATGGAGAACAACCTGCTTTTGTTTGTTGCTCTTTGTTGCTGCCAGCTCCTGCCTCTTCTTGCTGGTGGCATATGGGTCAAACAGCAGATTCTGGTGGATCTCCTGTGAGTAACATGAACCTGCCAGTGAAGAGATAGGAGAGGCTGTCTGCATGAGAAAACAGGATTGCAGAGGAGGAGAAGGAGGAAAGGAGGAGAAGGGAAGAACAGGCCACCATAAAGAAAGAAAAAAAAAACCCCACTAAATTACAGGAATAAATGTAAAGGGATGCTGAGAGAGGTTGAAAATGTGGCTTATACCATTTCCTCCAGTTGCTACCTCCCTCCTGCCTTCAGGGCTTTTTAGAGAGCTGAATTCAGTTTCCTTCCTACAGGATGTGCTGGGAGTGCTCTGCAATGTCTGGACCTGTCTCTCCCTGTGATTTTACCTCCCCGGGGGTCTCCCAAGCATCCTGTGCTAACCAGCAATTCGTCAGTGGTTTGGAGAGTGGCTGTGATCAGGGTAAGGGCTGTGCAAACAGCTACAAAGCATCTATCCAGACACACACCAGTCTAAGAGCACACTTGCAGGGGCAAGGCAACTGATTTCAAACTGATTCCCATGCCTCTCCTCTTGATCCACAACCCCCAGACGCAACCCTACGTGCTGTGCCACTGCCTCCTCATCTCCTCAGCCCTTCCTTACGTGAGCTGAGCCATGCTCTCCATTTGTTATCGGCTCCATCCACCTATTACAGCAACTTTTTATCTTGCATGTAGCTACTATCATTAGCTGCTTTCCCTTTGCTGCAAGGTCTCTGTGCTCTTTGGAAACTGTTCTTTAATCTATTATATCCCCAATGCCACCGCTGAGACTTCACTCTGAATTCTTTTACCTCCCTGGCAACAGTTCACATTCACTCATCTTCCATCTCACCACACAAGTTGATTATTTCCAAAAATCCTCTGTTTTAATCCAGCTGTGCTCCCACACGCAACTCCCATCAACTGCAGTTACATGTATTCCTTTTCCCAAGTTTTTTTCTTTAGCTCAGAAGAGCAATAATTAGGAAAACTTCATTTTGGCTACAAAGCCAAACTACAGAACCAAACTCTGCCGTTGCTTCCGGCAAGGAACACCAGGGAAATGCAGGTGGAGTTTTGGGCAAAAATGGATGGTGAAGCTTGGGTAAGAGGGTGGCTGGCATGTTTGGGTTTGTTCCCCACATCTGAGCAGGGCTGTAGCCTAGGGCTCACATTCTGATCTTGCTTGTACTGGTGGAATTCAGATGCAGCAATGCTGATTCATTGGCCTCTGGGGTTTAAAAGGTACTTTTAGTTCTTTAATCAAAGGCTGAGGCTAATGAGAGTTGTGTAGGACCTGGAAATGCCAAGCAGTGCAGGGAAATGCACATCTACAAGGAAGGGCGAAGGCATAACAACCTTCCTCTGTACTTGTTTAGCAATTTCTTATCAGCATATCTGGAAGTGCACTATAAAGGTGGGTAAATAACCATCTGCCTCTGCAGATCAGCAGCCCGGGGCACAGACAGGGATACAGCTTGCCTGAGGTCAGCCAGCAGCTCAGTGGCAGAGGCAGGTGGTGGAGACTGTCTCTCTCTATCTTTTGTCTCCATTTCAGATTCTAACTCCATTTTGCAACCTCAGGAATGACTGTAAAGTGTGTTGTAAGTATGAAGATTTTTATTCTAATAACATAATCAGTAGGAGTTACATCAAGGTGTTAGGTAGATCTGCTGTTACTTCAAGGATGGACTACTTGGCTTGGTACATTCCTGGACATTAATGTTATTTATTTTACAGCATCATAAATAAAAGTTTTAAAGCAGAGAAGGCCTAGGACTTAAAATGTATAATGAGCAGCTAAGATGCATGTGTTCTGTATCAGTGCTAGTATCACTAGCAGGACAAGGGTTGGGATTGTCACTCTGTGCTGGGCACTGGTGAGGCTGCACCTCAAATCCTGGGGTCAGTTTTGTGCCCCTCATGACAAGGACATTGAGGGGCTGGAGCGTGTCCAGAGAAAGGCAACAGAGCTGGGGAAGGGTCTGGAGCACAAGTGTGATGAGGAGCAGCTGAGGGAACTGGGGATGTTCAGCCTGGAGAAAAAGAGGCTGAGGGAAGACCTTCTCACTCTCTAAAAAACCCCTGAAAGGAGGTTGGAGTGAGGGAAGTTGGTCTCTTCTCCCAAGGAACAGGTGATGGGATGAGAAGAAATGGCCTCAAGTTGTGCCAGGGGAGATTTAGACTGGATATTTGGAACAATTTCTTCCTGGCAAGGGTTGTCAGGCTCTGGCCCAGGCTGCCCAGGGCAGTGGTGAAGTCCCCATCCCTGGAGGGATTTCAAAGCCACATAGATGTGGTGCTGAGGGACATGGTTTAGTGGTGGCCTTGGCAGTGCAGGCTTAACAGTTGGACCTGATATCTTAAAGGTCTTCCTGACCAAATGATTCTGTGATTCTTTGATCTGCAGCAAAGTCATGCTGGCTGCAGCAATGCCTGAGCACTCAGCTCCAAGACCATTCAGACCCTGGGAACTTCATGTTTTCAGTGAGTATACTCATTGGTGAGGAAATAAAAACCATTTCTGCAGGGTTACATCACTTCCTTGTGTAGCCATTTGTGTTGGTAACACAGATCTAGCACTGAATTGCTGCCAGTAGAAGCTACATGCTGCCTAACAGAGACAAAAAGAAAGGTGGAACAAGAGACTGGAACAAGACTTAAGAAGCCAAGGAAACACCCATGAAGTAATCAGTTCAACTTGGTTTCCTGTGGGAAAGGCTTATAAAGAGAGATTTGCAATACCAGGGAACGATGCTGATGAATGTTTTCTGTGGGATTTACCCCACCTCACTTTAAATGCTTAAAAATTAGCTTTCTTAATAAAAATCAGCCAGTCTGGTCTGTTGCATGATCCTAAGATATAATTGCCATCTGCAAGTTCCTGTTTCAGCTGATTGCTTGAGAGGTGACCAGCTTAGACTTAACTAGTTTTTAGGCTATCATGTTGGTTGAGATGAAATCTCCAAGTATTCAGGGCAACTAGAAAAATGAAAGAACAAAATTTGGGAGAGGAGGATGTACTGAGTCACCTAGTAATTGATTTGGAGCTGGAATTCACATGGTTGGAATTCACATTCAGTTTGACTTGATTATCTTAGAGGCCTTTTCCAACCAAAATGATTCTATAATTCTATGGCACTTGACCAACTACCCCCACAGGCAGAGTCTCCTGCTGGATGTTCTCCCTTCAGATAAGATTCATGGTGCATTGTCTCCCATGCCTGGTCTTGACAATGGTCAATGTCTCTCACATCAAAATACTTGAAACACTGCAGTGACACAGTGCAGAATAATCTGCCCATGGAGCAGAAGTCTTCTCCTAGTCTTTGTCAATCCAAAGTTGGTATTATCTCCAAAACATGATTTCTAGTCTCTAAATGTTGAGAATTCCTGGGTGTGCTGTGACTCTTCCTATCATGTGGAAAAGTCCTATTTTATCCCAGCTCTCTCCCTCTGGGATACAATAAGGCAGTAAGTTACTGTTGCTGTGCATTCAGTCCTTTTATCCTTTAAAACTGCTATTCATTACATGTACTGGGTGTTTTCTTAATTGTAAAAAAGACAAATAAGATCACATGATTTACAGTCTCTCTAATAATTAGACCAGTGCCAGCTCCCCACAGAAAGCCATTTGAAATGCTGAAACCCAGACTGTGGGACTTCATTTCCTTGTCACTACTGTGATTGAAAAGATGGAATTGCCTTGGTTAACATGAGAAAGAAATTCTGCCTTCAGTACAGCCTTAACAAGATTTTTCTGGAAGAGTTTTCCCTGATCCTCCTTTCTCCCACATACTAATGGCTTTTCCCTTGCATGCTGTGGTGCTTTCTTCACAGTCTTGCTGATTTGGCAGGGGCTGTAGGTTACAGCTGAGGGATCACATCAGTTTCTGTCACTCAGGTGGCTGGTAATGCTTCCTTGTCCTCCACAGTCCCCTCAGTGCCCACACATACAGACCACCTCTGTAATTCACTGGCAAAGCTTCACAGAGAAGCTCAAGCTGTGGGTAAAGCCCCAAGATGTCCCAGTGACACACAGACAAGCTCACATGAGGTCCAACAGTTCTAGCAAGGATTGACAGAAGTGTCTCCATGGTCAAAAGCCTAGGTGAACTCTGCAGAGCCAACATACCCAGAAAAAAAATATAGCACCAGCTTGAGAGCAGCAGTGACAGGAAATCAGGCTGAGAAGCACAACAGGAAAACAGACTTAGGCTGTGCTCCAGTTTGGAACTAGGAGATCCCACCTGGAGATTCCAAAGACCAGCAGAAATCATTGCATCAAGTACAGTACTTCCAAAGAACATATAAAGCTATTGCTCCAACACGTCTCTGTCTAAACTGGGTGCAAGGCACAGAATCACAGAATCTTAGGGGTTGGAAGTGACCTCGAAAGATTATCTAGTCCAACCCCCCGGCCAAACCAGGATCACCCAGAGCACATCACACAGGAATGCGTCCAGGTGGGTTTTGAATGTCTCCAGCAAAGGAGACTCCACAACCTCTCTGGGCAGCCTGTTCCAGTGCTCTGTGACCCTCACAGTAAAGTTTTTTCTGATGGCAGAATTTCTTTTGGCCAACCTATGTGAGAATAGTTGCAGGATCTCCATACCCATTTCTTTGCATTGTCCTCATTGGTGAGGACAATGAAGAAAGTCTTTTCTAGTTGAAAAAAAGTAAGTTGGGTCCTTATGAAGGACTCAAAAGCAGCTGTTCTTCACTGAGCACAGCCTGTGACTCAGTTAACATTGCTGTAATTTCCTCCCTGCCATGCAGATGAACTTCTGTTCTGCTGGGATTGAAGATCCTCTGGATCCTCCTTTACTCTGTGTCAGATCCTTGGTTAGATGGAGGAATGTGCCAAGGTTGAGCCTCAAAAAGTGGAGATGCTAGATGAAAGAGAAATAATGTAAGAATCAGACATTAATTTAGTCAGATAATTCAGATTCTAAACCTATTTAGTTACTCAGCCAGTCCTTGGGATATTGTTGGCATCTAATACCTCAAATACCTTTACAAATCTGGATTGAATGGAAAGACGGTTTCCATTCATCATCTCATTATAGAGAAAATATCACTCAGTCAAAACATCTTTACCATTCCTGCCCTCCTTTCTGACAATCTGCTTACACGCCCTGGTAAAGTCCAGCTGAAGCACTACCTAAAGGTGGTAAATTTACCTTGCGAAAAGCCTGGCAGAGATCACAAAGGTCCAGGAGAGGTCACTGCAGGAATTAAGATGGGATTTGTGATTCTGATGCAAAAAAAAACCCACCAAAAAAAACCCACCACAACAAAACAAAACCAAAAACAAACAAACAAACAAACAGAAAGTTTTGCAAATTGCCCCTAATCGAAATGCAGTCCCTCAGGGATACTTTACCGGTAGTTTTCAGACTACAGCAATGGTGTTGGTGGGCAGCTTGCTCCCCCACTCTCCTTAGTACTTTCCTCGTGCACAGTTTTTACATTTCTTATCATGCAGAAGACGGTGACTGCAGGAGATCACAGACAGGGCGCTACATGTCATCCTCCACCCATGCAGAATCATTAATAATCACTGGGTGACTACTTCCCTGCAGGAGTTTCCCTGCCTCCATCACCCATATCCTCTTTGACAGCACAAAACCTCACCTCAACAGCAGTTGCAGATTGATTCACAGAAGTTAAGAGACACAAAAAACACCTTTGTCCCATCCCAGTGTCTCCTGGATGACAGCAGAGCTGAGTGCTGCATTCCTGGGAAGCCACAACACTGGAATTCCCGTGATTGACTGGAACAACCGATAACACAGCCAAGGCACAGAGCCTACACTCTTCTTGACTTGGCCTCAGTCCAGTGTGAAACCTTCCTAAGGCTCTGTCCAGGCAATGTGACTTCAGGATCAGGACCCTATTTTGTAAGATACCTTGTATTGCTTTAGAAATATGTGGCACTGCAACCCTCTAGCCTGAGCTTGATGATTTCCTTTCTTGGCTTTTACGACAGGGATAGATTTATCTACTGCTTCCTATGTGAAGCAGTTCTGCGTTTTCCATTTTCTCACCCCAGTGCTTTCCCCTATAAATATCATCCTTCATCTGTGTTTGGATTCTTTCAGCTCCCACAGAAGGATTTGTGATCATGAATTTGCAATGTGGGTCCTCTTCATTGGGGGTTAGCCTATGCACCTGCTAAAAACGCTTGATGCCTGGGAGATCCAAAGGGATGCTAGAGGTCCCCATGTGCTCTATTATCTTCCTTCTAGATGGGGTCATCTGTAATTACTGGATAGTTGCTGCCCTGTAGGAGCTCCCCTCACTCTACCCTTTTATTGTCTTTATTGTCTGTCCTAACAGTATCACATCAGAAGCCTGTGTTCCTTTGTTCACTCCAGGTTCTCTATCCACATCCCTTCCTATGCTATAAAAAATTATCAGGAGTCACAAATGGCAATCCTTAAGTGGACAGCCCACTTATGAACTAGCAGGACTTACACCAAAGTCTGCACAAATGCTGTGTGCTCCTGAAAGACATCAAATACTTTCCCAGCCAGCTGCAGGCACTGAGGACCTTTGGGAGGTGCTGGGTGTATCAAGTAGTGAGGTCTTCATGCCCAAGCAAACCCTAGACTGAAATGGCATAACATTGTTTTTGATCATGTCAGTCTGCCTCCTTATTTTGGGAAGGCATTCACAGATCAGCTGGTTTCTCAGCTGTTGTCTCCCTGGAGTTGACTGCTCTCTCCTATCATTTGCTGAATGCTCTGATTCCAACCCTACCGTACCAGCTCCTCCTGGCATCTCTCCAGGACCTGGCAGAAGCCATGGACCTCAGCCTGAGCCCAGTGTCATTTCTGATGTAAGATCTCTTGCTCTGCCATTGAATATTAATGAGTTAAACCCATGTGAAGCCCATGCCAGTGTTCAACACTAAGACGACAGTCGTGACAGACAGTTTGATCTAGCAAGTGTTGGATGTGACGTCTTTGGCCGTATGTTCTCTTTTGATGCAGCAAATCACTGTCATCTGGATTCCCACCATCCGGAATGACTGCCTTCTCCTTGGCCTACAGAAATACATTGCCAGCACCACTGCCTTCCCTCTGTGCCCTGAATTTGGATATTGGCAACCTTGACAATAGCCTCCACCTGGAACTGGGCAGCATACTAACATGGAGACTTGGTGTTCATCCGTGTGCAGTCTTTTTTTTCTCTTTCACGTGGCTTTGGCACTGGAGCTCGAACAGGTGCTGGCCGTATCCCGGCGTTCCACTGGGAATTCTGGGCCAGGGTCTTTGCTGCGGCTTTGGAGGGCAGGTTCCCAGTTGACTGGTGAGTGGCCCAGCTGGGACGAACTGATGTTTTTGGAACAGACTCAAGATCTGCAGAAAATGACAGCTAGGGAGAGAAGGTAGTAAGTATCATAACATCCCAACAGCCCCAGAGGGACTGAAAACACTGAAGTCTATTGAGAACTTCAGTAAATTCTATACATTCTATATACATTCTATAAATTATATTCCCAAATGCTAGCCCTAGATGATATTTGTAAATGATACAAGCTTAATATGCATTATTTGCAGTAACCTGGGCTCTGGTATAACTTTACCTCAAGGACAAAAGAACCCAATTGGAAACTGATGCTAGTAAAGCCAAACCCACATTAATTGATTCTCCACATCAATTCATATGTAAATGCAGAAATTCTCCCGTGTATATGACTGGGACTGATCCCAGCCTTGCCTGCTGTTTGAAGTCTCACAGTGTAAAGGATGAAGTTTATTTTCATATACTGTTCAATCCACATTTTACTTAACAGGATAAAACTAAGAAAAAAAATATCTTAGCTACACAGTGATTATTTATTCCTTATTCCTTACAAAGATCTCAAGTATTCAAAATGCATGGGTTCTGCAGAGCAGCAGTTTTGGCTTTTTTTTTTTTTTTTTTTTTTTTGACCGATGCAAATGATTTGGTAGGAATAGAGAACAAGCATTAACAAAACCAAACATTTACACAGCAACTCATTAAAAAGCAATGTGGGCAGATATTCTTATGTGAAACTAGTGTCCACAGGAAAATGGTTATGCAGAAAAGTCAATGCTGTTTATAATCCCTGCCAGCCCCTTTCCCCTTTCCATTATTTGAATTGGCAGCAGTGGCAGATATATGGTGCTTCATGCGTAATTGTCTACTTAAAAATAAGCAATCCAGCAACTGCTGAATATCAACCTAAAGAAAAGCCAGTGATTATACAACTGCAGAAAGAGGTCCAGGCTCTTAGCAGTCCTTGAAGTGTGACAGAGATAGTTTAATAAAAGCAGCTGCAGCTTTTTTGTCCAAGCAAGAAAAGCCCAATACCATAGAAGCAGTAGTAGTTGCAGCATGGAGCTGACTGTCCCTTGCTTTTCATCTCCTGTGTTGCTGGTTGCTCATTTTTAGAGCTCACAGAGACAGATAAGCATAAACTATTAAAGCCAGGCTATCCTTTTAAAATTAGGGTGACATATATAAGCTGAGTTTGAAGATGTAAACATTATATTGAGTTACTTTCTCTTTTAGAAAT